CTTAATCTGTTTTCTCATCAGCAAATAAGGCTGAGGAAAAGGAGAATTTAAAGATAAAATGGCATAATGCACATTAGAGCATGCTCTGAAGTGTAAAGTATTTCAAGTTGTGTAATATACTTGTAAAGAGCGAGGCTCAGGTCTGGCAGCCTAGATTCAGATCTTAGCTCTACCACCTATTAGCTGCATGACCTCAGGAAAGTTATCTAACCAGTATCTCTCAGTTTAAGTAAAGTGAACATAATATTACCTACTTAAATTTTCTTTTTTTAGAATTAAGCAGTATAATACACATAAAATCTTGAACACAAGGTCTCTCATACAGTAAACACTCAATATATGTTAGTTATTATATTTTCTCCTCAATGCCTTTTATTATGGTGATATCAATGACTGTATTTTATTGTTCTGCATATATTTCTATATTGAGGGCAAATATTTTGTTTTATTCATACCTGTGATGTCTCAAGTATTGAACATGGGTACACATAGGGTCAACAAAGTATTTTATAAATTTTATATATATATCATTACCATTGTCAGCTGTCTTGGAAATATGCATTCATTTCAGATGAGGGCACTATTTGAAGAAGATAATATTTTGGAGAGGACAGGAGTGAACCTTTTTAATCTGAGTAGTCAGAGGCAACCCCCAAAGCCATCCAAGGAAAGAAGGTGCAGATTTCTGCCATTAGATATAATAATTTGAACTGTGTGTTTGGACTGTATTATAAAATGGCACATAATACAGACATCCTTTGTCAGTTGCTTCATTTGCAAATATTTTCTCCCATTCTGAGGGTTGTCTTTTGGTCTTGTTTATGGTTTCCTTTGCTGTGCAAAAGCTTTGAGGTTTCATTAGGTCCCATTTGCTTATTTTTGTTTTTATTTCCATTTCTCTGGGAGGTGGGTCAAAAAGGATCTTGCTGTGATTTATGTCATAGAGTGTTCTGCCTATGTTTTCCTCTAAGAGTTTGATAATGTCTGGTCTTCCTTTAGGTCTTTAATTCATTTTGACCTTATTTTTGTGTATGGTATTAGGGAGTGTTGTAATCTCATACTTTTACATGTACCTGTCCAGTTTTCCCAGCACCACTTATTGAAGAGGCTGTCCTTGCAACTGTATTTACAATAGCCAGGAGATGGAAGCAACCTAAGTGTCCATCATCAGATGAATGGATAAAGAAGATGTGGCACATATATACAATGGAATATTACTCAGCCACAAAAAGAAAAGAAATTGAGTTATTTGTAGTGAGGTGGATGGACCTAGAGTCTGTCATACAGAGTGAAGTAAGTCAGAAAGAGAAAGACAAATACCGTATGCTAACACATATATATGGAATCTAAGAAAAAAAAATGTCATGAAGAACCTAGGGGTAAGACGGGAATAAAGACACAGACCTACTGGAGAATGGACTTGAGGATATGGGGAGGGGGAAGGGTAAGCTGTGACAAAGCGAGAGAGTGGCATGGACATATATACACTACAAAACGTAAAATAGATAGCTAGTGGGAAGCAGCCGCATAGCACAGGGAGATCAGCTCGGTGCTTTGTGACCACCTAGAGGGGTGGGATAGGGAGGGTGGGAGGGAGGGAGACGCAAGAGGGAAGAGATATGGGAACATATGTATATGTATAACTGATTCACTTTGTTATAAAGCAGAAACTAACACACCATTGTAAAGCAATTATACTCCAATAAAGATGTTAAAAAAATACAGATATCTTAGCGCCCATTCTATTCCTATGAAGTAATGAGGTTTGGACATTCCTCCATATATCTATCTCTCTCTTATGAAGAAGACAAAATGTCATTGTTGTACATTTTCACAAAGGTCAGGGTCTTGCCATGAAAACTGGGAACCAATAAGTAAAAAGGAACTATCTGATCATGTTAATTATGTGATTGCTTTCCTGTGGGTGAAGGAATTCTAAATTAAAAGAATAAGCTATAAATTATATATCAAAAGTGCAATGAAAGCACAGCAAAAGAAAGATGCTTTGAAGAAATCCACAATTTATTTTATTTTCTAGAGCAGGGGTCCCCAATCCCTGAGTCATGGACCGGTATTGGTCCGTGGCCTGTTGGGGAACCGGGCTGCACAGCAGGAGGTGAGCGGTGGGTGGGCCAGCGAAGCTTCATCTGCTGCCCCCCATCGCTCACATTACCACCTGAACCATCTGGCCCCCTCCTCCACACACCATGCCCAGTCTGTGGAGTAACTGTCTTCCACGAAACCTGTCCCTGGTGCCAAAAATGTTGGGGACCGCTATTCTAGAGCAACTGTTGCTCACAGTGATAAACTCTTCAGTGCCTAATGGCTAGAAAAATCAATTTACTTCTATAATAAAAAGGCCATTTGTCTCCTTGTAGAATCCATCTGACATTGTTTGGCCTTTTATACATGATCACTCTGAACAATGCCTGTGGTTTACAAATTCCCTAATTATATCACTGATTATGTACTACTGAATATGCCTTATCCTGTGGAAATAGACACTATCACCATTTTAATAAACATTTTGACATAAAATGAAGCTGGCTCTTTCATGCTTTGTCAAGAGCAAAGTGAAACAACCAGTGAACACAATGTTCCATCAACAGATTAGGACCACATGTTCTTTAGAGCAAATGAGGTTTAATTAACAGATCCATTAGCAGAGAACTGGTCAGTTAAAACATAGGAGAAGCGTTTTCTTATAACACATGGACACTTTATTAACAAATATTCTACAAATGCATGATTGTATTTTATGATTCATTCTGCCAGTCTGTAGAAGTATAGAATGCTACAGTAAAAATATGGGCCTAATTTTAAAATCACATAAAAACTCATATAACATCATTGATTGGAATGATATATAACTCATTCTAAGCTAATAAGTGTGTGAATAGAGTTTAGTACCATTTTATTAATATAGTTTTACATTCCATTTTATTCCTAAGCAAGGATATTTCCGTTTAAATGTCAACTAAATACATTTTGTTTACAAGTATTATTTAGATAGTCTTGGTGAAAGGGGATTACTTATGTTTCATTCATACTAAGTGCATTTTGGAGTGCAGACATTTGAACTCCTTGTCATTTTATTATTTCTACTTCGTGTATTTAAATTACCAATATATTTCATACTGTGCATAGAACCTTTTTTTAAAGTGCAATGATATGCTTTTAATTTCACATCTTTTTTAATCTCATCATTATTATGGTAGAACATCCCTAAGATTTGGGAAATTCTGATGTATTTACCTGATTTATTTATGTACTCAGAGGAATCTGGCGTCCTCAGTTCTTCCCTTCCCCTGCAAACTATTGTCTTGTCTCCTTATCTAAAGCTTTCAGTTCTGAGCCTAGGCTGTCTCTTAGGCTGACTTTCACCCAACAGGACCACCCAGGCTCCAATTCCTTAGTCAGAGAGGTAAGAAGGCAGACATGCCATGATTTGGGTTTTCTGAAATGGATTCACTCAACAAAAATATTTACATTTCTCAAAGTTTATCCCTGGAGTCTGAAATCTCATTATGTGTGCTTGTTCCATTGAGAAGCTGTGTGTTTTGTGTAAAGAACCTGGGTTTTGCAGTCAGAATTGACCTATGTTTAACACTTTGAAATGCTTCAGCATATGCTAATGCTTTGCTTCTTAAACTGGGTGTGGATATATACGTGTGTAAACTATTTAAGCTTTATGCTTACAATTCATGCATTTTTCTATGTTTTTGTTACGTTGCTATAAAAGTTAACAAAAATACTTCACCATAGACAATGTGATCTGCACTTGCGTGCTGCAAGTTTTAATGTATAGACTAGGGTTACTTTAATATGTAATTCATGCCACTCAGGAGTACACAGCCCTAGATGTGGTTAGGCAGCATTTTAAAGACACAAACTCTGGGTCCACTCTTCTCAGGAAGCTAGAACAAGACAAGTATCATGTTGAGTTGCCCTAGAGAATTTTTAACCTAGCATAACGCTGAAAGCGGTCTCCTTTGTTGAAATGAATATTGCTCAATCTATGCACCTAGGTTAGAACAGGGTAAGGCCATGCCCCATTTTAGTGAGAGGAATATGAGATGAGCAAATGGGACCTGACATCCTAACACTCTTTGAAGCGGTGTTCTCAGAGTAGGGAAGTGTTGTGCCCCACTATCAACCCAACACATAGTCACAGGAACGAACTAGAATATTACCTGAATTCCTTTTAGAATATTTTAATACCTGCCTACAGTGATCTTTTGATGCAAGGCCCTTGTCAAAGGCCATAACCGAATATCAGAATCACCTGCGATAGTAAAGGGACATACCCACTTAATGTAAGATGCTGCAAGCTTATACTGAATTTGGAAACTCAGATTGTAAACTTGAATCAGGTTATGGCTATAGGAAGTGAACAAGTACCTAAGCTTTGGGATCCCATTTTCCTCTCTATAAATGGAAGGCACTAGGTAATCTATAAACGTCCTCAGTATTTAAAAACGATGCCAATAACTGAGACATTTAGAAATCTTTTTAAAATGTTTTACAAAATAGGTATATGGGAACCTGCCCCAATAATCTTTTGTTTTTATTTAAAAATAAATATTCAGAATTCATAAATATCCTCAAATTGTGCCATCAAAATCCTAATTGTAATGATTTTCTAAATTTATTTAATCTCTTTGCTAAGCTCACTGATATCACACAATGAAGGATGAAAAATTAAGACTGTAAAAACTAATGAGGCTCTTTTTATATATTAAAATGAATTCATTTGTAAGCAGATTTTCAGGGGAAAGTCCTTTGCACTAATGGTAGTTCTAACTTCTATTTTGGAGCTATTGTAAGAAATAGCTTTAAGACATTCCAAACTGTAAAATGAAACCTAGTCACTACAAACAAATTATATCACTATAATAATTGTTCTATCTAATGCCAGAAATCTAGGATTCTAGATCTTTTGCTATCACATAGACCAAAACGGTGATCAAACTGTTAGTCTATGGATCTAGTCTCTATGGCTACTTCTGTTTATTTCTCTGTTCTTCAATTGATAATGGTAGCTTGGTAGTATCATCTAAAAATGACATAAAAATTCCAAGTGTTACCATAATCATATCAGTAGTGAATCTAATACCACTCCCCACATCTCTATCTTCTCCTCTAGTCAAGAGACACAGAGTCAGTCCTGGTATTGTAGCTTTAAATAATATACCCTGACTTACATCCATTCTCAACTATGAGTTTGATGGAGACATTTATTCTTCATCAGTTAATGAATATAATTTTCATAATTCTTTCTTTAACTTGTGTAAGTTATTGCTAGTTATTATAATATTAAGTGCAAATTATGGAACTAACTAATTGTGTTCAGTCCTCTGGATTAGAAGAATCTCTATTCAGTCATTTAAAATTCATATAGTTTCCATGTCCCCATTGCTTGCATTTATAAGTGGATGAAGGGTATAGGAAACACAAATTGGGCATTCTTTCCTATTTCTCATTGACCTGCTCTTATCTCAATGTAATCTGGGAATTTCAAAAAGTGTTTAATTTTGCCAAGTGAAGGAAATCCTCAACACATGACACAGTAATTAGACAACAGCTAATTAACCACTGTTAAACTATGGCTTGTAAGGTAAAATCTTGGTTCTGATATTTGGGGAAGAAAGTGCTGGATATTTTAAGATGATAATTGGAGGAAAATCATAAATCCGATGTTATTTTCATAATTAGATAGATTCAGTTTTATGAGAAAATGCAATATAAAAACATGATTAATGTTTATTCAACTACTACAGAAAATAGAGAATTTAATGCAGGCAATCTTTGCATTTATGCTCTCCCCAAAAATAAGCAGTAGAAATATTGATATAATTTATGCTTCTCAAAACAACTTATAACTTCCTGACAAGGCCAACTAAAAATGTTTCCAATATTCTTCTCACTTCTGTAAATGATCTAATTGAAAAGAGAATTAGTGTAATTGTTACTGTCTGTAAATCTCTTTCTCTCATTCTCTCTCTCTTATTTTCTCTCTCCTTCCCACCCACCTTCCCTCCTTCAATTTCCAATCTTTTCACTTGAAGAAATATAAGCGCTCACTTCCACTATCAAATCCCATGCATCAATATTAAAGTACTTGAAACAAATATAATCTTCACATGCTGATAAAAAGGTATTGAAAGCTCTAAAGATGCTGTAAATACAGGAAGTTTTCCACTGGATATTCCCCTCTTTCATTTGGTTTCCACTGACCACTTTTTTTCCATTTTCTTCATGGTTTCTGCTTTTTCCACCATGTCCTTGGACATTTTGTTTGTTTTTGCTTCATACTCTCTTCTTGGATAAGCTCATCCACTTCTAATTAAGGCAACTACCTGTGAAGTCCATGTTCTACTTCTGACCTTTCTCTCAATTATTAAACCCTACTTTTTTGGGGAGAGGGGGACCATACAACAATCTTTTATTATGTATGGGTTTTTTAAATTATTTCTGCAATCTCTCCATACACAGGCAAAAAAATAAAAGTATTGTTTAGCATATTGGAACTTGCAAACTTGATCACTGAATAGAGAAGGGAAAATTATCCCTACAACATGCTTTACCAGGAGGCCAATTCATCTGCCGACCTCCAAGAACATGGAGATGAACACGGTAGACAGACTGTCCCCAATCTGAACCTTCATTCACCACCATTTGATAACCCTTCTTCAGGCCTAGATCAGCAGCACATTTCTTGCCAACAATCATTAAATGTCCAAGAAGACTTTCACCATTATCTTCTGCTGCAGAAATCTGGGATATATGTTTCTTGGGTATCACCAGAAAATGTGTTGGTGCTTGAGGGGAAATGTCATGGAAAGCGAGACACTGGTCATCCACATAAATGATTCTGGCTGGAATTTCCTTGTGAATGATCTTCCCAAAAATCGTGTCATCACCAGGCCAGGAAGTCTGAGCCTTAGCCCAAACCCTACTTTCTAACTGGTCACCAGAAATTGAGAATGTCTTACCAACCTTTCAAGTACACCTAATCCCAAACCAATCTGTCCTCTCAAACCTTTCCTTAAGTCCCTCATTCAGACTTAACATTCCTCAGAATGTGGCATTACCATATTCTGAACTGAAGTATAACATTTTAGAATCATAGAAGTGTAACATACTTTGGGAGGACTGGAAGAACTCATCTAAGCAAATGGCTTTCAACTACATGTTTTTAATACTGTATGCACATGTATGTGTTTGTGAACTTAAGTCAGAATCCCCTGTCCAAATTTAATCGTAGATAGAAGTTCTATATATAAAAGAGAGATATATTTTGTTCTATGTGAAATGGCAAGGGAAATAAAAAAGGGTAAAATTCTCATCTGGTTACTTCCCTTCCCCGCACAGTTCAGTAGACCCTGAGAATAGTTTTTAAAAATCTCTAGGTGCGATTGGAACACCATTTAGAAATCAGTTACCCAGCTGATCCCTTTATTCTACAGACGGAAAGTTTTGGGGTCCAGCCAGACATAAGGTTGCAATGCTATTAAGTGGTAAATTTGGGCCTGGACCCAAGTCCAGGGCTCTGCACACACTAAGCTGCCTGATGTCAATCACGCACTCTCCCAATTGACTTGAGAGCACTGGTCACTGACTTAACTGCCCCTTAACAGAGGTTGTGAGTGTCCCTCAGCACTTCATCTGATTCCTATCAACCTCTTCAGCTGAATAAATAGTCTGCCCCCCAACCTGACCACCACACACACACTCTAATGGGCAAACTCTTTTTTTCTTATATTCCTTTTTTTCCACTCTATATCCTCAAACTCTTTCTTAAAAGTAACCTAAAGCCGTGGTGGAGAGAAAAGGAACTAAGATGTAAAGAGGTTACCTGACTTCTCAGATGTAGTTTATGAGCGAGTCTCACGCTTCTTCTACCAGCTAAGCCTTCTGTATCTTTCCCTCTCTAACCTGACACATCCATAAAGTAATACATATCTCCATGGCCTTAATTTACTTCCTAATAAAAATTTTCTGCCTCCTCTCTCACATTATCACTAACGGACTCACTGAACACCTCCTCACAATGCAAAGGTAGTCTACAATGTTGGGAAAACAGAGGAAAAGTTTTCTTTGCCCAACTGATTGATTGCGAAGCTTCTGAAATGTCTTCTGAAACTCTCTTCTATTTCTCCACGGTCTTTCCTCTGTCTCTTTTTGGAACACTGCAGATTCACCCAATGAATAGGCCCTCCTGACACCAATCTGATTATGCTGCTACCTTGATAAAATTCCGTGGTCGTTCTTGACTGTGTGAAGGAGATCTAATTAATTCATTTCCTCCTAAGATCTAGTGCCAAATAATCCCCATTCTTAATCCAGCTCAGATGCCGCCTGCTCTATGGAACTCTTGCTGAATAGATTCAATAATTTCATCTTGTATGCTTCTATATCACTATGATAGTTTATAAAGCAAATACTTGACTTTATCTGTTAATAAAAATTTTCAAGTGTATGGGATATAAAATCCATGAACTAGACCCTATACATTTTTATTTCTTCCTATAGTCCCTTTCCTATAGTGGTTGTTTAATAAATATTTTGGGAGGTTGAACGTGCACTACGTTTCATGAGTTAATCCCAGAATTGTGGAAGACAGCTCTACCTAATTTCTCTTTACCATATTGGAACACTTGGCATTATTCCGACTTGAATTGTCAGTTAACCCTTGCCTCTCAAATTTAAATTTTCAACCGCAATCTTCCTCCGCTAAGAACAGATTATTTAAGGCTGAGGGCTTGTGAAATAAAGGTCAGATATACCAAATGGAAGGAAAAAAATACCAGTGACGTAAGCTGTAAATACTGTGTTCATCTCTTGTGGTAGGTTTCCTTTTTTTTTTTTTTTTTTGCGGTACGCGGGCCTCTCACTGCTATGGCCTCTCCCGTTGCGGAGCACAGGCTCCGGACGCGCAGGCCCAGCGGCCACAGCCCACGGGCCCAGCCGCTCCGCGGCACGTGTAATCCTCCCGGACCGGGGCACGAACCCGCGTCCCCTGCATCGGCAGGCGGACTCAACCACTGCGCCACCAGGGAAGCCCGGTTTCCTATTTTTATTAAGAAAACCTTAGACGTTTTAGGAAGTCTCTGTAAACTGCTCTCATTTGATTTAACATACCTTTATTTTGTGTAATTTTAGCAATTTCTCTCCAAGGTCATTTAGCATATTCTAATGGAGCATTTGGTAAGCCTTCTGGAGGTATCTTTATTCTGAAAATATTCAAGCATGGATTTTTGACTGTTTGAATGATTGCTATCAATAGGACACTAGACTTTAGCTCCAAACAGTCTTCATCAATGCTACCTGAGGCTAAATGATAAAAACAATAATAATACAAACAATAATATCTGATGTGGACAACTGACATTTTCTCAAACTTAATTTAGTGTGAGTATAACCATTTTTAGAAAACTCTGCTACTTTTCGTTCATAATATATATTTTTTGGCCTTTCATTTGTTCTTTTTTTTTTTGAATTTTATTTTTTAATACAGCACGTTCTAATTAGTGATCAATTTTATACACATCAGTGTATACATGTCAATCCCAATCGCCCAATTCATCACACCACCATCCCTCATCCCCCCACGGCTTCCCCCCCTTGGTGTCCATTCATTTGTTCTCTACATCTGTGTCTCAATTTCTGCCCTGCAAACCGGTTCATCTGTACCATTTTTCTAGGTTCCACATATATGCATTAATACACGATGTTTGTTTTTCTTTTTCTGACTTACTTCACTCTGTATGACAGGCTACAGATCCATCCCCCTCTCAACAAATGACCCAATTTCGTTCCTTTTTATGGCTGAGTAATATTCCATTGTATATATGTACCACAACTTCTTTATCCATTCGTCTGTCGATGGGCATTTAGGTTGCTTCCATGACCTGGCTGTTGTAAAGAGTGCTGCAATGAACATTGGAGTGCATGTGTCTTTTTGAATTGTGGTTTTCTCTGGGTATATGCCCAGTAGTGGGACTGCTGGATCATATGGTAATCCTATTTTTATTTTTTAAGGAACCTCCATACTGTTCCCCAAAGTGGCTGTATCAGTTTACATTCCCACCAACAGTGCAAGAGGGCTCCCTTTCCTCCACACCCTCTCCAGCATTTGTTGTTTGCAGATTTTCTGATGAAGACCATTCTAACTGGTGTGAGGTGGTACCTCATTGTAGTTTTGATTTGCATTTCTCTAATGATTAGTGATGTTGAGCAGCTTTTCATGTGCTTCTTGGCCATCTGTATGTCTTCTTTGGAGAAATGTCTATTTAGGTCTTCTGCCCAGTTTTGGATTGAGTTGTTTTTTTGATATTGAGCTGCATGAGCTGCTTGTAAATTTTGGAGATTAAATCTTTGTCACTTGCTTCATTTGCAAATATCTTCTCCCATCCTGAGGGTTGTCTTTTGGTCTTATTTATGGTTTCCTTTGTTGTGCAAAAGCTTTTAAGTTTCATTAGGTCCCATTTGTTTATTTTTGTGTCTATTTCCATTACTCTATGAGGTGGATCGAAAAAGATCTTGCTGTGATTTATGTCAAAGAGTGTTCTGCCTATGTTTTCCTCTAATAGTTTTATAGTGTCCGGTCTTACATTTAGGTCTCTAATCCATTTTGAGTTTATTTTTGTGTATGGTGTTAGGGAGTGTTCTAATTTCATTCTTTTACATGTAGCTGTCCAGTTTTCCCAGCACCACTTGTTGAAGAGATTGTCTTTTCCCCTTGTCTCCTTGGTCATAGATTAGTTGACCATAGGTGTGTGGGTTTACCTCTGGGCTTTCTATCTCCTTCCATTGATCTAGGTTTCTGTTTTTGTGCCAGTACCATATTGTCTTGATTACTGCAGCTTTGTAGTATAGTCTGAAGTCAGGGAGTCTGATTCCTGCAGCTCTGTTTTTTTCCCTCAAGACTGCTTTGGCTATTCGGGGTCTTTTGTGTTGCCATACAAATTTTAAGATTTTTTGTTCTAGTTCTGTAAAAAATGCCACGGTAATTTGATAGGGATTGCACTGAATCTGTAGATTGCTTTGGGTAGTATAGTCATTTTCACAATATTGATTTCCAATACAAGAACATGGTATATCTCTCCATCTATTTGTATCATCTTTAATTTCTTTCATCGGTGTCTTATAGTTTTTTGCATACAGGTCTTTTGTCTCCCTAGGTATTTTATTCTTTTTGTTGCCATGGTAAATGGGAGTGTTTCCTTAATTTCTCTTTCAGATTTTTCATCATTAGTGTATAGGAATGCAAGAGATTTCTGTGCATTAATTTTGTATCCTTCTACTTCACCAAATTTACTGATTAGCTCTAGTAGTTTTCTGGTGGCATCTTTAGGATCTCTATGTATAGTATCATGTCATCTGCAAACAGTGAAAGTTTTACTTCTTCTTTTCCAATTTGTGCTCCTTTTATTTCTTTTTCTTCTCTGATTGCCGTGGCTAGGACTTCCAAAACTATGTTGAATAACAGCGGTGAGAGTGGACATCCTTGTCTTGTTCCAGATCTTAGAGGAAATGCTTTCCATTTTTCACCAGTGAGAATGATGTTTGCTGTGGGTTTGTTGTATATGGCCTTTATTATGTTGAGGTAGGTTCCCTCTATGCCCACTTTCTGGAGAGTTTTTATCATAAATGGGTGTTGAATTTTGTCAAAAGATTTTTCTGAATCTATTGGGATGATCATATGGTTTTTATTCTTCAATTTGTTAATATGGTGTATCACATTGATTGATTTGCATATACTGAAGAATCCTTGCATCCCTGGGATAAATCCCACTTGATCATGGTGTATGATCCTTTTAATATGTTGTTGAATTATGTTTGCTAGTATTTTGTTGAAGATTTTTGCATCTATATTCATCAGTGATATTGGTCTGTAATTTTCTTTTTTTGTAGTATCTTTGTCTGGTCTTGGTATCAGGGTGATGGTGGCCTCACAGAAT